TCTTTCCCAGTTAAATAAGGAATTTTGCATGAAAGATTGACACACCTCAGCTCCTGTTTCTCAGGGTCCTATCCCTCGCATAAATTAAGATCACGGTATGTGTCTGTCCAAGTATTGTTTACCAAGACCTGCAGAAGTGTCTCATTTTACCGGAGACTTTTATCATTGAAATGAAGAACCATTATTTTTTTTCTCCAAAGGGCGCCTTGTATTCAAGCAATTAAGGTATACCTTCGTCGATGACAGGGAGATCAGTTCCTCTTACTCTAAACGTACCAGCTCCCATATTATCCTTATCTCTGGTTGCTTAACATTTACCTGAAAGCAATACTAAGTGCTGTCATTAGTGTGTCTCTCAGGCCTTTAAAAGGCATATGGATTCTTCCTCGTAAAAGCGAAGTAAACGATCGGTAGAAAAACCAAGGTGTGGATAAATGAGCCAATAGTGTCTGTGACAATAAACATGCCAATTTTCTGCATTGATCCCAAGATGTCACCATTCTTGCCACTCGTGCGGCAATCAAACTGCAAACACCAATTGGTGAATACCTGGAACATACATAGAACACTCTTCTTTATTGAAAATTGCTTATTCCGTAAATTGACTCATCCAATGAGCGTTACATCGGAGCGCAATGTGTATAGTAAAATATCACGCATCGGTCCAAAGCTGCTTTATGCCAAGGTCCTTTTTATGTGATACACTGATCACCCAAACTGTCTACCTTGAAAATTTTATACGAGATCTGTAAGCTGCCATCAAATTATTTCCATAGTACCTTTTTGCCGGTCCCTTAGCTCTCACCTAATAAACACCAAGTTGGACGAGGGATATTTCCCAATATATGCTGGCACAAGGTGGAATTCCGACTAAACGTGCTTCGTTTCAACGAAATTCCGCAGAAATAAAATTCTGAGTTATGATCTTAAATGTCATGGTAGGAGATAATTAACTATATATTTTTAATCTGCTCAGGTGTTGTTAGTGGCCACGTGATCCAATCACCACTAACAGGAATGCACTTCCTTCCACGTTAGGCCCTCGATCCCAATCGTTTCCTCTTCGCTTTCTTCTCCGATTAGGTGATTAGCTTTTTATTTATTATGTACGACAAAATTGTTTGATCATTTGACTGTTTTTTTTTCTCGTTATGTCTGTAGATAACAATCTGCGTCTGATCGAGTTTACCGATCTCCCTGAGGGAGCGAGGCCACACTTTACATCCAACACGTTCAATGAATCCCTTGACACACGGTCCACATTTGATAAGCGAAAGCCAAGTGAGCGCTTTACAACTTTTTTTTTAACCCTTTGACTCCCAGAAGTGATTGACATGTAACTTCTCCCCATAGTATTCATGCAATATCCTGCAAACAGGCATTGAGAAAACTCCAACTTATCAGGTAGAAGTTGTTATCTTGATCTACTACAAATTCTCACAACTGATTCACAAGGACGTGAAGCAGCTAAAGGGGAGAATTAACAATCAGATCTTGAGAGTTAAAGGATTTACTAAGAGTCACAACAACGGCCAATCAGAGCAAAGGTAAAATAAATTGCGATTGGTTTTGATTTGCACCTCATCCTGACTTCTGATGGTCGGTGAACTTATCATTGAGATTAATTAATTTTTCGAAGTATAGCGACTCCATCAGTCGTTTTAACTGATGAAACATCTCAAACTGATGGTAAACATTTAGAAAATAAAATTGACGCACGCTTCATTTTACTTCTTGTCAATTCCAATTACTTTTTCTTGATAAGCAGTGTTTATCAAGTAACAGTAGTTCTTCGAATGCACCATGCTAAGCACAGACCAATTCTTTGATAAATGACAACTACCACCTCTTGTGGCGATTTAGAAGTCCGGAGATAACTTGTTTTAAAGTCCAGCTGATGTTATCGGCTGTTACTGGCGTAGGTCGGTCGTGATTGGTTTGTATAGATCCGTCGAAATGTTTGGTCGTGTTAATTGGTCCGTTTTTTTAGCGTAAAAGTTGTAAATAATCCGATCTGTATGGTGCCATATGAACTAAGCACAATTATAAACGATCATACAAGTTATCTGCTGCACATTCACATTATGGTCAGTTTGCTCGAGTAATTGAAATTTGGAATGAATGGTTACTTGAGTATGTTATCGAAATAAAAAAAATGATTGATTTTTTTTTAAGCAAAGCGACTCTATGAGTTGAGACAATTGATGAAACTTCCGCACCCGGCGAACCTTTCGAAAATAAAACTGACACACGCTTCGTTTTATTTCTGTAGTCAATAGAAATTACTTTTTCTTGATAAGCAGTGCTAATAAATTAAGTAAAAGCAGTTATTCAAAAGCAATTTTACAAATAAAATGGAAAAAAACGCTATTTATCATTCTTTTAACACTTTCACTTAGACATTCCATTTTTTTTTTCATGGAAGCCTTATTTGAAACAGCGTTTACAAGTCTACATCTATAACGCCCTTAGGCTTCGATGTAACAGCTTCTTATTAACAATGCAAGCCATGACTTAGAAAGCCACAATACACGCATATTACCTCATTCCCTTCCCTTCCCGTCAATTTACTTAGTAAAGGCTATATTGAAATTCGATATCATTCAGCGCGTTAAATGTTAGACCAAATGGACAAGTATCTTTAAACCATCATGGGAAAAAGCTAAAACTCAAGTAGCGTAAGTGTTTAGTGATTGGTTAGCTGCAATCCATCGGTAAAGTTTGGTCGTGTTGATCGGATTCTTTGTTGTGTAAATGTCGTAAATGAGTCAATTTGTATGGCGCCTGTGGGTGCTCTTATGGGCTGAGCGTAATTGCAAATAGCTCTACAAAACATCTGCTATTAGTCTAAATTTTTAATGGTTGCTGAGTTTATTTTTAAAATAACAAACAATTTTTTTTTGGCGAGTAATGCGACCCCATTAGTAAGTTCAATTGATGAAACTTCTCCACCCTGTGAACATTTGGAAAATAAAACTGACGCCGGCTTCGTTTTATTTCTTTTAAATTCAAATTAATGTGTTTATTACAAGCAGTGCTTATCAGTGCAAGCAATTATTTATAAAAAAAAATTTATATCGAAAATGGCGAAAAAAAAACTTTAACGATCTTTTTACACACTTTCAGAGCAACACTTCTTCAAGGAAGTTTAAGAAGGCTTTATAGGGTTTTCACTCAATGTTGGCGCGCGCGCCAGCGTTATGTTTTTCTAGAAAACATTTATGTTTTCGCTTTTCAAGGTCACTAAAAGCCATCAGAAGGCAATGAGTCAGGTTCGGACTATCGTTTACTGGAGTAAATATTATCAAAATGATTTTCGTTTTTAAGCTAAGGCTCCACGAAGGGAGGCGCTCGCCAGCTATAATTTGGCTTTGCCTTTGATTTTCTTCGATTTGCTTCGGTGAGATCTCTTAAAATTTTCACAGTTTTGTAAAGATTGTCCTGCTGATCATCTAAAGCCGTAGAAAATAGAGAAATAGAGGTCACAAAAGTAGTTTCCTCCCTATTTGCAATTTTGTGTTTTCTTTCTCTATCTCAAATTTGGCCTTATGATTTTTCTTATCAACAGGCACTAGGAAGGCTACAAATATGTTTAACAGTCCAGCAAATGTTAGGAAATTCCGCCCAAAGAAACGTGATAAATTTTATTCCAAAGATCCCTGTTTTCTTTGTCCAAAGTAGTACGTAATGGTATAGAACTTCGCTAAGATCAGTATCTGAGCATGCGTAGACTTTTGAGTCTGTCGCCCTCTGGCAATCTTTCCTTTCCATTGACCTCTTTTCAGTTGAGAAGGCCTAACAATATTACGGGTGCTTTTGTTGGAAACCCTAGATTCCATCGCATAAAGACTTTATTGTATTATATTGTTTTTAATACACCTTTCCAGATAACAATCGTGGTATCGTATCGAGCCGCCATGTTTGCATGTTGACTCTTTTAAAGCTCGTACTATGTTTGTACCCGGATCTCGCGCGGTCAAAAAATCCCCATGGAGCCTCCTAGTGACGTGTACAGCTCCTTGTTAATATGAATCATGACCATAGTTGCACGCTGCACGCTTACCGTTTCTTTTATAACATTGAGACTTTCAACATCTTTCGTTTCGTGTGGAAAAAAAGGAAAACAAACTGACGTCAGCGTGCAGCCCACAGGCAAATCGATCAAGTGTATTAACCAATCAGAGCGCGCCCTTTTATAAAGCTATGTCATCCGTCAATATCGTTCAGCGCACCAAATGGTAGTCTAAATGGACAAATATCTTAAAAACAACACTGAGCGAAGTCAGCAGCCCGTCCATCAAAATTAGTATAAATACAAGAAACAAGAAAAGGCAAACGCCTGCAGGTAAACACCGATGTAAAACAGGCCGCAATTGCAATTATTAGATGAGGATGCAATTATTCTTTTAAGTTATATGGCAGTTATATTTCTTATGACCGCAATAAATGAAAAGTGCATTTATTGTAAAGGATCCTGTTTCTACCAGCTGAGGGATGGATCATTTTGCAATTTGACATTCAAATCTGGTGAAAACATCGGCCACATCTCAGTATCAGTTTTTGTTAAATTTATTCCTTCTCTAATTCTCTATATCTAAAGGTTACCCTGACGTAAAGGTATTTCAGTGTATTGACCGTAAAGTAAATACATGCATTTACGATCAAGAAAGGACAAAACGCGAACAAAGAACTTTTTCTCTTTTAGGCCATTAATTTGAAACTTTCAGCATGGCTTTTTCTTTATGAGAGATGTTATCATGTGATACAAGCTCGATTTGCCTAGACATGTGTCAATCATTTCTTGTTCAAGCTGCGTGCAGCTTCTAATTGATGAGACGAACAGATCGGTGGTGAATTTAATGGGCATCAATAATGGATCGCCGTTTCTTTTTCTCCTAGAAACATCTTACGATGAAGAAGGGAAGTTAGGAAAGTTTCAGCAAAGAAAAACGGAAAAAATCGCTGATGAAGTGTCATTATTTGTTAAATTTATTCTTTTATTGAGTTTACATAAACGTTCGCTAAACATTATTTTTATGTCACATGCTTCAAGTTTGAATATTTTTGTCAAACGGAAGAAATCCTCCAGATCGTCACAAGCGAAAGAGAAAAAAAGAGACATGTCAAACAAAAATATCTATAATAAACAGCCTAGTTTTCATTTACTATACATTTAAAAGGGTCCGAGGGAGTGCACGTAGGCTTTTTTTGTATACATAATTTATAGGTCATGGAATGTTCTTCCTTCACTGCCAAATTGCTTCAGCGCTATCGAGCTATATTTATATGTGAATAAGGTTTGAACTGCCTGGTATCAATGTACTCTAACACGTTTCCAGTTGGATGTAGGTGAGTTTTCAATTGTTCTGAGAGGAAAGACGAAATATCATTAGAGTGTCATGTCGTAGACCACAACTGGTTCTCCTTTCCCAAACTCGTTGGCTTTGCAGCTTTGTTTAGTAGCCGGTGAACAAAAGAGTACAGCGGTGTTCAGTATCTTTATACCTGTTTGAACTAGAAAACAGGTTGGTGTAGGTTCCGTTTTAGCTGTTTTGGTCCCGCCGATTGTAGGAGAGCCTGTGGCTCAGTCGCACCCTATGGTGGCAGCAAATATTCCTTCACACAACATCAAAATGATCATTTAGGAGGATGTTGTCACCCAACGTATAGAGCCACTCTTTGTAGACCAGGGGAATAACAACTGTCACCTTGATACAGAGATCCTCTCTTGATCACGTGGCAATTCTGTAGTCAGAATAAAACTTGTATTTAGGTCCAGCCGTTTTTTTCTTTCCACAGAGTTTTATATTGTTTTTTACTACACAAAGGTTCAATTTAGCTCACAGCAACAGTTTAACTGTCTAATTATGTCCTTTACTGCCTGTTTCACCTCCCTGATTTTCCAGCAGTAAAGAATAGGGTTTAGAGATGAGTTTAAGAATAGTAAACAAAGGAAAAAGTAATATATGTTAATCTCCAAAGACCCTTCAAAATGTAATGAAATTAAAGTAATACAAAAAGGAGAGTAGCAAGCAAATAATCCAAGCTGTACCCATGCTATGATAGAAACCGTTTTCTTGTATCGCGCTACATTCAATGCAGTCGGTACAACGCCATTGGGAGGAAGTTGTTGTCGTTGGTGAACGTGGCCTTGTACATGAAGCAGTTGGTGACGGAGACGGAAATAGATCTTAGCGTAAGAGATGGCCGAGATAAGAAGAGAAATAAGCATCACAACAGCATATACAAAATAGTAAATTCCTGAAATGAAGACACACCCAACCGAAGCACCAATTAGGAACCAAAAGGAGATAATAAGCGCTCGCACCCGCCTTAATGTAACAACGTATCTATACCTCAGACCCAACGACAACGCAAGAAGTCTGTCCACACTTATTGCAGTTGAGGTCAAGAGGGAGACACCACAAAGAACTTGAGATGAGATCACCTCTATTAAACCAACATAAAAATATTCATTAAAGTTTAAGCTGGCAAGAAGCTTCACTGTAAACAGCGGTTGTGTTACCAGTCCAACACAAAGATCGGTGACCGCCAGACATCGAAACAAAAGTTTCGTTGGAGGACAAATCGAAGTCACTTTGTTAAGAGCAATTAGGATGAGAATATTGCCCAGTATTGCGGTGATGGAGAGAAAAGTGTTCAAGGCTGCAAATGCTGCAGACATCCCCACAAGTGACGCCGGATACCTGACTTCAAATGAGGAGTTTGTATGTTCATCAGTGGTGTTCAGCATTTTTCTCAAAGCCGGCAACAGAGAGTTTGTTCTCAGAAAGGCAAATGTTTGCTACTGTAAACTGTTCCTGTTTGACTGATTTTGATGGTGTACTGTGATCACTCGGGTGAGAGTAGTTCTGAGAAGGACTGTTGTTGGTTATAGTGGCTCAGTGATGTTTCGAGAACTGCACGTAACGGAAAGTGAAGAGTTTTCGTCAGTCGATGTCTACAAAACTAGTTTTGTGTAAACTGATTGGTCAGTTTTGCTTTGGTGTTATTAGCTGTGAGACTTCAAAATGTTTAATCGTGTTGACCGGTTCCTTTGTTGTGTAAATATGTCGTGAGTAGGTCGATTTGTAAGGCGCAGGTGGGTGACGTTATGGGCTAAGCACAATTACTTACGACCATACAAATTATCTTGAATTCCCCTAAAGCCTTGAATAGTTTGGTTTTGGCCTGCTCTGATGATGATGAAAATTCTCTTTCACTTTGTGATACGGGCAGTCATATATCTTATGTCCAAAATAAATGGCCATAGAGCATTCATTTTAAAAGATCCTGTTTCTACCAGCTGAGGAATGAAGTATTTTGCAATTAATTGGTTCCTTTGTTGTGTAAATATGTCGTGGGTAAATATGTTCCAATTTGACTTTCAAATACAGTAAAAACACCCGTTTTATTTATCAGTTTTGTTAAATTTGTTCCTATTCTAATTTTCTTCAGAATCTCTCAAATTCTCTCCTACAATCCTAGTAACATCTTGAAATGATCAAGGCAAGTTATTAATGCTTCAGCAAGAAATGGTTGAATTAAAGTTTGAGGCTGTGGTTTACTGCCACTCTGTAGTGACGGAAAATATTCCTTTAACATCAAAATGATCAATTGGGAGGATGTTGTCGCCCAACTGTAAGCCATTCTTTGTAGACTAGTGGAATAACAACCGCCACCTTGATAGAGAGATTCTTTCTCGTGGCGTTTCAATGGCCTGAATATAAAACTTGTACACTAAAAAGTCATGAGTTTAGCTGTCCATCCCACAGAGTTTTGCATTTTTTTGTACAACACCTGGGTTTAGTGTGGCTCACAACGGCAGTTTACTGTCTAATTGTGTCCTTTACAGCTTGTTTCGCCTCCCTGATTTTCCAGCAGTAAAGAAAGGGGTTGAGAGATGAGTTTAAGTAAATTGACGTCATGAAAACTTGGATTTGTGAAAAAGAATCCAGTATGATAGTAAGATAGAAGACAAATATTCCGAGCTGTACTCATGCAATGGCGGACACTGTGTTATTGTAACGTGCTATATTCAATTCAGTTGGCACGACGCCTCCACGAGCCGAATGTTCTTGGAAAATATTGCCTCGTAAAAGCCGCATTTAGTGGCGGAGACGAACTTTGACCTTGCTGTAAGAATAGGCCGCAACGAACAGAAGAACTATGAATAAACAAAACAGCTGAAATAGGGCTAAAAAGGGTGATAATGATAGAGTGAAAAATAGTTAGAAAGACCGATTAATGCCAGAAGCATGTTATGACTACTCGGATCCGCCTTGATGTAACAACCTGTCTGTATCTCAGACCCAACAACAGCGCAAGAAGTCTGTCCACACTTATTGCAGTTGATGTAACTGATGGCTCCACATGAAGCAATAGTTGAAAGCAAAAATTTTTTAAGAGGAATATTCCGTAATTTCCGTCCATTTACCCGCGCGGCAGATTACCCGCATCGGTCAATTTTTGTAAGAACGAGAAGAAAATTTCAACAGAGTACCCGCACTGGCAGATAACCCGCACCCAAAAACAAAAGAAAATCGTCGACTCATACAAATTTTCCTAATTTTTTTTTGTTGACATGATATCCTTTTACGTGCGATTAATAAACTTTCACACTTTTTGTCTTCGCTGTTTCATTGAGAATGATACCACTTATAAAAATATGTTCTAAAGAAAAATCGATATCACGAAATCTACGAGTCGACTTCGACCCAGAGTCAATATCCTTTCATCGGGTGAAACAAGTTAAAGAGCGAGATCGAGTCGAGTAAACTGACGTTTTCGCGGAGGTGACAATGTTAGACTTGTAATAACGGGGCCGCCCTCAGCCACTCTTCCGTGCAAAACTAACTTAGATATGATTTCTCTCGTTATAAGGTTTCCATCGCCAGGATTCCTCTGCGGTTGTGTCTTACATCAACTTCAAGCCTGAAGCGTTTTCTTACTTAAATATTACAAGAATTGTTTCAGAACTTATCCAAGATGGTAGCGAGTGTGAATTTGCCTGTTTGGAAATCACTTCGTGTTTTTCGTACAACCTGACTGCATTTCCTGATAATGGGGGAAACTGTTGTGTGAACTGCTCCCGTCCGCGCAGGGAACCCAATGAACTTATCAGCAATCCCATATTCCATCATTTCAGTGAAACTGTAAATGCAATCTTGTTCCAGTTTAAGCTATATGTCCCCTCCCTCTTGGGTAAATCAATTGGGGCTGCTGCTGATAGGAAAGTGCGTGATTGAAAGTGTCATTTGACAGCTGTGATTTTGTACGATAACTTCAGTCAAGAGAATATAAACTGTAATTCTCTTGCCTCAGTGACACAGACCTTGTTATAGTAATGGTGGTCTCTTTGTTAGAGAGAAAACTTAGCATGTCATTTCTTGAATATCTCAATTTTGTTGAAAACGAATTATGATATACAACTGAGCTATAAATGCATATAAAGCGGTTCTTACTATTGATCTATTAGAAGAAAGAGGCACAGACGTCTGCACCAATAACATTATTTGGATTCTTTATATATTTATATATCACAAGAAACCAGTCACCAGTTCACACTCCGTCACGCCTCGTGTGCCACTTTTTAATGCTTAACATTTTTGACTGGAAGCCTAAGCCTTGGTGAAAGACTATATTGAAACTTGATATCATTCAGCGCGTTAAATGTTAGACCAAATAGACAAGTATCTTAAAACTATCACTGGAAGAAGCTAGAGTTGCTTTCGGCTTCGCCTCGAGCAACTCTTGCGCCACTCTCGTGCATGCGGCTCTCCAAATTTTCAGTATCCATTCATAACTCGATACGCGCACGCTAATCATGAGCTAATCACCTTAGGTCCATAGATAAATCAGCTCTTGTGCAGATTCAGCAGTCTGAATAGAACTTGTATTTAAGTTCAGTTTTTTTTCCACAAGGTTTTACATCGTGTTAAGTTGTGCAACGCAAATATTCAATTTGGTCCACAACAACAGTTTAACTGTCTAATTGTGTCCTTTACTGCTTGTTTCACTTCCCTGATTTTCCAGCAGTAAAGAAAGGGGTTCAGAGATGAGTTTAAGTAAAATAAGGAACGAAGAAAGAAAAAAACTGGACCTTCCCGAAACTCTCCAAAATACATCGAAGTCAAATGCACACCAAACGGCAAATAGCACACAAATAATCCAAGCTGTACCCATGCTATAGCAGAAACTGTTTTCTTGTATCGTGCTGCATTCAATTGAGTCGGTAAAACACCGTTGGGAGACAGTTGTTGGTGGTGAACATGGCCCTGTACATGAAGCAGTTGAGGCGGAGACGGAAAAAGATATTGGTGTAAACAATGACCGAGATAATAAGAGAAATAAGAATCAAAACAGCCTGTGCAAAAAACAAAACAAATAAAATGAGGTCGAATCCAACTAAAGCACCAACTAGAAGCCAAAGGAAGATAATGAGCGCTTGCACCCGCCTTAATGTAACAACCCGTTTGTATCTCAGACCCATCGACAGCGCGAGAAGTCTGTCCACACTTATTGCTGTTGATGTCAAGACGGAGACTCCACAAAGAAAAAAACTAAATACTTCTCGTATAAAATAAGTGATTTCAAAGAGTTTTTCGCTGAAGTACATTATTTCTTCGCGAAGAAGCGTCACTGTAAACAGTGGTTGTGTTATCACTCCAACAAAAAGATCGGTGACTGCCAAACATCGAAACAAAAGTTTCGTTGGAGGATAAATCGAGGTCACTTTGTGTAGAGCAAGAAGGATTAGAAAGTTGCCCAATGACGCAGTCATAGACAAAACAACGTTCAAGAATGTAAATGCCATAGACATTCCAAATCTCCCACCTGACAGATGACCTACTTCAAATGAGAAGTTTGTATAGTCATCGGTTGTGTTGAGCATTTCTCTTACGGCAGCAGAGAATATTTTTGTCGGTAAGGGAGATGTTGACCACTGTAAATGTTCCTGCTGGTTGTAAGTCCAGTGTAATAAGTCCAATTTGTGTAAAGTGATTGGTTTATTTTGCCTGAGAAACTCAAGTAGCGTAAGTGGGTAGTGATTGGCTAGCTGCAATCCATCGGTAAAGTTTAGTCGTGTTGATCGGTTTGTTTGTTGTGTAAATGTCGTAAATAAGTCAATTTGTATGGCGCCTGTAGGTGCTCTTATGGACTAAGCGTAATTGCAAATGGCTCTACATAACATCTGCTATTAGTCAAAATTTTGAATGGTTGCTTAGTTTATTTTTGAGATAACAAATAAATTTTTTTGGCAATTAATGCGACCCATTAGTAAGTTTAACTGATGAAACTTCTTCACCTGGTGAACATTTGGAAAATAAAACTGACGCCCGGTTCGTTTTATATCTTGTAGATTCAAATTAATTTGTTCTTTATAATCGGTGCTTCTCAGTGTAAGCAATTATTTATAAAAAATATTTTATGACGGAAATAGCGTTAGAGGATAAATCGAGGTCATTTCGTGCGGAGCAAGAAGAATTAGAACGTTGCCCAAAAGAAAATAAAACTGACGCCCGCTTCATTTAATATCTTGCCAATTCAAATTAATTTGTTCTTTATAAGCAGTGCTTATCAGTGTAAGCAATTATTTATAAAAAATATTTTATGACGAAAGTGGCGAGAAAAAAAAAAAACTTTAACGATCTTTTTCGACACTTTCAGAGCAACACTTTTTCAAGAAAGTTTGAGGAGGCTTCACAGGGTTTTTGCTCAATGTTGGCACGCGCGCCAACATTGAGTTTTGTTTTTCCAGAAACTTTTTCATGTTTTCGCTTTTCAAGGTCACTTAAAGCCATAAAAAAAAATAAGTCAGGTTCGGACTATCGTTTACTGTAGTAAATATTATGGAAATGGTCTTCGTTTTTAAGCTAAGGCTCCACGAAGGGAGGCGCTCGCCAGCTATAATTTGGCTTTGCCTTTGATTTTCTTCAATTTACTTCGGTGAGATCCCTCAAACGTTTCACAGTTTTTTGTGAAGATTGTCCTGCCGGTCATTTATAAGCCGAACAGAGTAGGGGTCACAAAAGCAGT